TGAACAGTTATATATTATCACACCTATTTTATAAATTCGGAGGGGTTCAGAGGGGCTAAATAACTCCTTTAAAGCTCAGTCCTTCCTGACTCCACAGCTCATGTTTTATTCTGCTCCCCTGTTGATCTCCTTCATTCAGAAATCAACTGCGTTTGATATGTGACCCTGACTCAGGTCAGGATGGTACATTCAGCTCCCTTGGGTGAATCAAGCAGAAAATGATTAGAGGATATTAGGTAACTGTGGGACATGAGCTTCCCCTCATGAACTGGGTGTTGTTTGACGTACTTAGCCATAAGATTGTGTGTACACAGCAACAATCTGTCAACAAATGGAAATGGTAGATAGAAACCATACTCGAGCAGGTCTGGAAGATGGTCTGTATTGGGCAGACGGCCCAGGCTCCCATGATGGTGCTTCTGGTGCATTGTTTCTGCCCCTCAAAGCCTGACTGTGGCCTCTGGGATCGTCCTTTGACCAGCTGACTGAAGAAAAAAGACTCCTCAGCTTGGTCTATAGACGAGTCTGCACCATAGGCTGGTGTCACCCAGAAGTGAAGAGCCACAGCATTGTAATCCCACTCAGGGGTGCCCCTGGAGGACAATGGTAGAGAAAAATTCTCTTGGTGGAGGAAAAGGTTTAATCTCGGTGGGCAGATCTTTGAGCACTACATTTGGTTGTCCACCATGTCTGGAGTGAGGGATGGCCGGAGGCACAGATCCACACGCATTCAAGAGCTAATGGTTTGCCAGAGAGGCCACCTCTCGATGATCAGAGCCTTGGAAGGAACAGGATCGGAAGATTGGTGACAAGGAAGTCTGGGGCAGAGATGCATGAATGGAACGAACCCTGAGAAGGGACTCGGCCTGTGTGAATGCCCATCAAAGGCCCTTTCCCTGTCCACCCCAGTGCTTGCTCACTAGTCTTGAACAAAGCAACCACGTTGGCAGGCATGGAAGCTGTGCATGAACTCAACAACACAGAACTCTCCTTATGAGGCTGACCTGGTTAATGCCACCGCGGAGTGCCTAAGAAGTGAGCAGCAGAGACCAACACCTATTCCCTGGGGGAGCCAGCCAGACATTTGATGGCAGGTTAATTACACTGGACCTCCTTCATGGAGGAGGCATGGAGTTGTCCTCACTGGAATAGACATATTTGGGACATGGATTTGCCTTCTGTGCTCATAGTGCTTCTGCTGGCACCACCTTTGGTAGATTCACAGAATGCCTTATCCGTAGTTGTGGCATTTCCCTTAGCATTGTGTCTAATGAAGGAACTTATTTCATAGCAAAGGTAGTGCAGTAATGGGTTTGTGGTCATAGGATTAAGTGGTTTTACCACACACCCCATCACCCGGAAGCAGGTGCCTATTTGAAAGGTGGAATGGCTTACTGAAGACTCAGCAACAGTTAGGACGCAAGACTGAAAGAACGGAGTTCAGTCTTAGCAGATACAATATATGCTTTGCATCGAAGACCACTGTATGGTGATGTCTCTCTCCCCCATAGCCAGAATATATGAGTCTAGGAGTCAGGGGTGGAAGTGGGGAATGGCTCATTCACTGTTACACCTAATTACCACTCAGAATTTTTGTTTTTCCCAGCAACTTTGAGAGCTGCTGGTTTGGGGACTTAGTCCCCAGAGGGAGACCGACTACTTTTTACCAGTGAAAACAATGGTTCCTTGGAAGATGAGATTTGGGGGATGAGACTGCCACCTAGTCATTTTGAGCTCTAAATACCACTGAATGAACCAAGGAGCAAAAAAAAAGAAAAAAAGATTACTCAGCTGGCTGGGTGATCAATCCTGACTACCTATGGGAAATCGGGTTGCTGCTACACAATGGGAGCGAGGAGAACTATTTCTGGAACCCAGGGGATTCTCTAGGGCACCACTTAGTATTTCCATGCATAATAATAAGTGTTAATGGAAAAAAAATGCAGGGCAGTTGAGAGCTCAGACCTTACTTACATTAGTAATGGAAATTTGCCTCAGTCTACCAGGTACAGAGCCCTGAACATCGGAGGTTCTGGCTGAGGACAGGGAACTATGGATGGAATGGTGGCAGCAGTTCATAAACATCAGTTACGACTCTGGACCAGTTACAGAAATGAGGACTGTAGTAACTTGGCATATTTTCTATTCACTTGTTTTAGATATGTGTTTATCTATCTTAACCGTTTTATCCATCTCTTTGCTTTTTTACATTATCAAGTGAGCCGTTGGAAGTTAACTTTATAACTGAGTTTTCAGATAACAGAATATTTAGTGTGACTATGACTGAATGAGGAGTAACGAAAACAGCTAAGCACGGTGAGTGTTGGCCTATTTGAGGAACGGTGGAAAGCTCTCTGTGTGTAGTCTGACCATCCCCTCCCTTCTCCAACGAAATGAGAGCAGTGAGAATGTAGGTCCCTTCTGGAAGTGGGGAAACCATATGCAGTTCAAGATGATTGTTGCCCTGGGATAGTCAAATGCAGCTTTAATTTGAATCAACAAACACAGGTGGCGTGGGACAAAGGATGTCTTCCAGGTTGTTTCAATCTCTACTTTAAAATTAATTCATACATTTCTCAAATAGGTAGGAGAAAAACCAGGAGAGTGTATTTCACAGGAGCCAAGGAATAAAGTGTTGGTAGGTAGAGGAAATGCCCAATAATGCTGAATGCTTGCTGAGAGGATGAGGTTCTGAAAAGGAACCATTGAATTTGGGAAAGTGGACCTCGTTAATATTCTTTGACAGGAGCAGTTTCAGTGGAGTGATGGGGAGAGTGGCTTAAAAGAGAATGTGAGGTACTGGAGGTAGTATTCTAGACTTGTTTCAAGAAGTTCTGCTATGGAGGGAAACAGAGAAGTGAGGCAGTAGCTAGAGATGAGAATATGGGAGATATTAGACTATGTTATGTAGAAGAAGAATATATTTCATTTGTGTTGTTTTCCATGATTACCAACTGTCTTTTTGTTCATGTTTAAATTCTCTGCCATTCAAAAGGTTCAAGCTTTTATATAATATGTACTTTCATTAAAATTTTTGAGCTTCTTGCCTTGCTTAAAGGCCTCCCCATTTGGAAAGGAAGTATTTTTATTTCCTCCTGATATCTGTATTTTTTTTAATGTTTATCTTTTATTAAATAATCCACTGAGCTGGAAGGTTATAATATGTTCTCACACTTATTTGCATAGTTCTGGACTCAGTATTCTGATCCTCTGATATGGAACTTTTAACTTAGATATTCCCAACTTCTTTGAGTTGTGACTAAGCTTCTTCTCCAACCCTACAAAAGCCATGTAGACTCTATCGGCTTTCCTTTTCCTTTTTTTTTTCTTGTGGTAAAATACACTTAACATAAAATTTACCATATGGACCATTTTTAAGAACACAGTTCAGAGGAATTAAGTACATTCATAATGTTGTGCAACCATCACCATTATCCATCTCCATAATTCTTCATCTTGTAAAACTGGAATTCTATACCTATTAAACAATAACTCCCCATTTGCCCTTTCCCACAGCCCCTGGCAACCACCGTCCTGCTTTTGGTCTCTGTGTGACTACTCTAAGTACCTCATATAAGTGGAATTATACAGTATTTGTCTTTTTATGTCTGGCTTACTTAACATAATAGCTTCAAGGTCATTCATGTCGTAGCATGTGAGAATTTCCTTCCTTTTTGTGGCTGAATAATATTCCATTGTGTGTATATACTATATTTTGCTTATCCAGTCATCTGTCTGTGGACATTTGGTTGCTTCCATGTTTTAGCTATTGTGACTAAAGCTGCTCTGAACATGGGTGTACAAATATCTGTTCCAGACCCTGCTTTCAAGTCTTTCGAATTAAAATACTTAAGACGTGAAACTGCTGGGTCATATGGTAAGTCTGTATTTAATTTTTTGAGGAACCTCCATATTGTTTTCCACAGGGGCTGTACCATTTTACAACAGTGCACAAGGGTTCCAATTTTTCCATATCCTTGCCAACACTTGCTATTTTCTGATTTTCTGATAGCCATCCTAATGGGTGTCAAGTGGTGTCTCATGGTAGTTTTAATCTGCATTTATCCAATGGAATCTATTAGCTTTTATATTAAAATGAATTTGGGTTTTCTTTTAAAAGAAAAAGAAGACACCTTTTGAAGTAAATGAAGCACTCTGGGTTTTGGCAAAGCCGGTGTTAAAATCCTTTCTTTAAGCTCTTAAGGTGAAGAAATGACTTGTGGGAGTCTTATTTTTTGCCATTAGTGACCTCCCCAGGGAAAATGACACATCTATGTTTTTCCACAATCATTGAAGGATTCCAGAATATTCATGGTGTCCCTAAATTAGCATAGTGACAATCAAGCTAATGAGGTATTAATAGTATGCCTAAAATAGCATGCTAACAAAACAAAGTTGTGTATGCATGTGTTTGTAGGGGTGAATGGGATTCATGCTTGTTTGTAAAGTATAATCCTTTAGGCAAGATCTACAAACATCTTTAAAGGACTGATCCTTAATAGCTTAGTTGTCTGTCAGTTTATAGTTTACAGAGGTTTCCATACACAGGATCTCATTTGATTCTCACAAAAATCCTGGAAATTAAGCAGGGTAGGTATCATCTCAGTTGTTCACAAATGTATAAAAAGGCTTATCAACGTCAGATAACTAGCCCTGGGTCACACAGCTAGTTAGTGGCTGAGACGTGTTAAGAATTCAGATTTAAGAACTCCTTGGTGAAGAGGGAATCTGCGTATGCACAACCTGACACCCAGTTTAACCCATAATATAAACTCACTGGATAGTTGTTGAATGTATGAGTTTGACCTGTGAGCCTACTTCAGAATTCCTTCCACTGTACTATGTAAGCCAATACCGTGAAACCAAATTCTTAGCTTCTGAAACCAATTGAGGAGGAGAGGAAGAGAGGGAGAGGGGGCAGAGAGGAGAAGGTGGGAGATTGTAGATGGGATAAAGCGCAGGGATTATTCCCACCAGAATGAGGAAATTGAAGGCAGCAGTTTCTGGAAATGTCAGTGTTTATTAAACATTTAAGGACATTTGGGGGTTTGAGAAGAAATATACAGAATGTAGAAAAATCTTAAGAATCTCCCATGTCTGGGAGAACAGCCTCTTTCCTTACCATCCCACTTCCCATTTGTTTTTCTTGCTTTCTCTTTGGTTGTTTAAAAGCTATTTCTTAAGGCTCATTTGCCCCCTCCTCAACTCCCTGACCTGTGAAGATCTCTCTCCCTCTCCTTCCCGCATGACCTTGAGTCCCAGAACAGTGCTCCGAAGTGGTCAGGGGGCACCAGTCTTGAGGCTGAGGTTTGAGAATCCGGGGCTTGGGCTGGCTCTCCATTAAGGATTTAACGGGGATTGGGGGGGAGCGCAAAGACCACATGACGTCATCGGTACTCAGTCATGGTTGGGGAGGCAGAGCATGGGCACAGGCAAACGAACAAAAAAGAATGGATTAAAAAATAAAAATAACTAACAACCTAAATAAACCCTGAAGGAGAGTCCGATCTGGCTGATCTGGGTGTTAGCTGGGCGGACAGAGAATGCAACTGGGCCACCTGATGGAGTGGGGGAGGGTCAGAGAAGAAAGAGCCAGAGGGCCAGGCTAGGCGGTGCAGGGGATGGGGGTGCCAGGTGGCCTGGAGTTGAGGCACGCAGTGTCAAGGTCCCTTTCTTCTCGGTGCCTGAGGGTCAGGCACCAAACACACAGTCCTTGGGGCCAGTGAAGGGGAGGGGCATGAAGGGGTGAGAATCTGATGTGCCTGGGGAACGAATTTGGAATGAAACTTACATCTCGAAGGCAGGTGGGGGCAGGGCAGGGCTGGGGGGCTAAGGAGGAAAGCACCTAGACGGGGGTAAGAGGAGCCTAGGGCCCCCTGCTCTGGCAGGGCCTGCGGGCGGGTGATCACTAGTCCGAGTTCAGGCCGATCATGTTCTTGAGGGCGTTCTTGATGCTGGTTCTGCTGGGGGACTTGACAGCAGGCCGGGGCTCCGAGCTCTGCTCATCCTGTCGTAGCTCCATCTCGATGATCACCACCTGAGAGCCTTTGGAGACCTCCGCCCGCGACCCCCGATCCCCCGCCCGGCCCGCTAACCGCTATTTCTTATCTTTGCGAGACTCCCCCAGCCCCTTGGACTTCTTCTCACTGGCAGCTTTGGTGCTTCTGCTGTGGTCCAGCATGGCGTACAGCACTGGCGTCTGGGGGAAGGGTGCACACATCCGTCACCGGCCTGGGTTGGTGGGGAACTTGACTGTCCCTGTCCCTCCCCTCAGTGCTGCCCGGGGAATTCTCCCCAGCTTGTCCAGGCCCCGGGTCCCGCTAACCTGCCGGCCGCGCTTCGTCGTGTCCTTCCCAGCCTTGTGCAATTTCCCCTTCTCCATGGCACTGCGGGGAGAGCGGTGCTGTGGGTTTGGCCCCGCCGCAGCCCCGCGCACAGCGGACGCAGCTGCCGCGCCCCTCACTCAGGCCCCTTACCTGAGCCGCCTCTGCAGCGCCGCCTGCCGGCGCATCCAGCAGTACCGCGTCAGGTAGACAAGCAGCAGCACGAGGAGCACCGCCCCCAGGACGCCCCCGATCACGGCTCCCAGGACCACCCCGTACCGCGCGGGCACTGGGAGGGGCGGGAGAGAAGGCAGGCGCTGAGCAGGCACGTGCGCCTTGGTCCCGGGCCCCACACCTACTCCCTGCGGATGGGGACGAGGGACCCCGAGCCGCAGCCGCAGTCCGCCCACCTTCCCCGACCTGAAGGGCATCAGCCGGGCCACCTGCGTCTTCCCCAGCCTCAGGCCTCCCCGGTGCCTCCGCGGGCCTCCTCCCAGAGCCCTGTCCCGCCTCTTCTCACACCTTTTTCAAAGACGTAGAGCGTAACCTGCGAGGTCTTGCCCACTATGTCTGGCGGGTTTTTGACATCACATGTGAAAGTGCCGTTGTCACTATAGTCCAGGTTGTGTATGACAATGGAGCCATCCTTCCAGTGCGGGTCCCCTACCCACTGGATGCGCTCTTTGAAGGTCCCCACCTCATCGATGTAGGGCTGTCCCTTGGCATAGTGGAAGATCTACGAGGAATGAGGGAGGCGCATGGAGGTCTAACCTCGCAGTAAAGGATCTTAGGCTGCAGGGGATAGTTCTGAGGGAGGGAGACAATAGAGAGAGGCCCTAGGCAGGGTGACAAAGATTGCCGCTTCCTTGTCAAAGCTGGGATTATGGCTCATAAAAGATTCCCCTTCCTTAACCCCGGCTCTCTTTTCTGCTCTTCTGTGAAGCTCCCTTTCTGTTACGCAGCCCCAGGACTCCCCCAGACACTCACCGACGTGGCATCGCGGCCGCCTTCAGGTTGGTAGCGCCAGGTGAAGGAGAGGTCATCTGAGACCCACTCGCTGGACCAGAAGGAACAGTGCAGGGTCACTTTGGAGCCCACAGCACCGTGGACCTCCCTGTCCGTGTAAACCACAATGGCCTGGGCGGGGGAGAGCGCTGCAAGCACAAAGGGGATCAGATGCACAGGTGGAGCCAATAAGGGACAGAGGAAGTGAGACCCACGGGAAGTCGAGGGCCAGGTCAGAGGCTGTAGCAAATACTGGGCCAGAAATGATAAATTCTGAGGGCTACATCTCTCTAGACTGAGTAGGTGAGTGGGAATGCTGTGTCAGTTCAAGCTCTTCAGCATGTTCAATTGGAGGAAAGGAAACCATAAATTACAGAGCTCTCTTGAGGACTTCCAGAAATTGGATTCTGTCTGCAAGTCTCATTCTCCCTTTGGGTTAGTATTGAACTCTTAAGTTATCCCTTATAGGCAAGCTTTAAAAAATTTTAAATTTATTGTAAATTATATAGGTAATACATAATGCATTCTTATAAACTGTTCAAGCATCAGAAATTAAGTTAGTCTCTCTTGACACCTCCCCCAACCAATTCCTTTCCTGTAGTCACCTCCCAGATATAACTACTGTTACCAGTTTAATGTGCAACCTTTTTCTAGGTATCACATTAAGATATACATGTATTTATGTGAAATAGTTATGTTCTGTGTAGCTGTCTTCTTTTTTTTTATGCATTGCGTTATATTCTGCCTTTTTTTCACTTAAGAATGTATGTATAAAAAGGGAATACATGTATATGGGGAAACTTTTCATGTTGAATCATATTGATTCCAGATTGATCTTATTGTTGACAACTGCATGGTATTTCACTACACACCAAACTCAGCTTTCTTTCAGAAAAAAAAAAGACCACTAGAGAATGTAAGTCTCCTTCTGTGGCCCAACTGTCCTCACTGCTGAATCCCTGGTTGCCATATAACTTGTTCTTGGCCGGGGTGGGGGTCGGGGTCAGGGAAGAGAGGACATCATACTCCTCTCAGGGGAAGCTGGGTGCAGAGGAGTACCCCCAGACCCAGAGCTCAGATGACTCTGCACGTGAGCCCTTTGTGGTTTGACCCTCCTCACCCTCCTTTTGGTCATTCTGGCCCAGTGCCATTCCCAAGACTCACCCACACAAGAAAAGTCATTCCAGGGAGATTATGTGTGTGGGCTGACTCTGGGTGGGGGCAACTGTAGACGCTTTTGTTCTATGGGAAGGGGAAGAAGCAACCAAACAAACAGAGACCCATTGTCTGACCACTTTGGGGGCTCTGCCACCCCCTACTCCCCTACCTCCTGCTCCACAGTCCTGAATCTCCCACCTCAGTGTGCAGTATCGGTGGCTCGCCTCCCAGGACCTCATGAGGCCTTAGAGGCTTCCTGGGAATCCCACATGTAACAATGAAGGTCATTCACCGGATCTAACGTCTATTCATCTGGTTCTAATATCAACCACTGCCCTCCAGCTCTGCTCCACGGTTCTCTGAGTGGGGTAGGTGCCAGGACAGAACTCTCCCCCTCATACGCCAAGATTCCCTCTGCCCATTTCACTCACCCTGCCCTTTCTCCAGCTCCTTATCCTTAACAGTGTCTCTGGGTGTCCTGGAATAGTCCAGTACAGCCCAGAAGAGCCTAGGTTCTGGGTTTTGGACACAAGGAGCTGGCAGCAGAGAGCCTTGGGCGTTCTGACCAGCACCCCACCCCCACCCCTGCATTTGCCTACAGCCCAACCATTGTGCTAGGCTTCAGGACGGGTCAGAGAAGGGAAAGACCCTTTCAAATCACCTTACTTTGACCTTCTCTTGCTCACCGGGCACCTGCCATGGGGCAAGGAAGAGGGTCAGCTGGTGAAGGAAGACAGCTTTAGATGGACAAGATCCTAGAATCTTCCCTTCTAGTCCTTTCACACACGTAATAGACAACTGATCCCCAGAGAGAAACTCAGGCACCAAGAGACAAAGCATCCTAAGAGCTGGGGCCACAAACCTTGGGCTCCTCCCTTAGATCACATTCCCTGATTTTTCTCAACAGGAAAGCTGAGGTTAAGTACTTCCTGCACTACTAGGGGATGAGTAGGGAAAGAGCCCAGGGGTCTGATCCTTCCTGTGCTCTGACACTGCCTCCTACCTGGCCCTGTCCACTGCTCTGGGCGTCTGTGACTGGGTCCAGCCTGGGTCCAGTCATTTCCATCTCAAGGAAGCTCTGTACACTCTCTTTTCCCTTCACAAAATAAGCACCTTTACTGCCTCCCTGAAAATGTATATATATATACGTATATCTAATTATTTTTCCTCTGAATATAATTTCACCTGCCTGCCCCTGTTCACTCCTCCTCTAACTGCAGTGGGAAGCTTGCTGCAAGACACCCTGAGCCCCAGGGCCCCCAGACTGGGTCGGCTCCACTTACCCAAAGAGGAGAAGAGCAGCGCAGCCAGGATAGGACTGGGGCCAGATGAGGGAGCCCCTGGAGCCATAGCTGCGGCAGGGGCAGGGCCCGGAGCGCCTGCGGGGTTGGGAGAGTGGGGGACAAGGAACTGAGCGGGGGTTCCTGGAATCCGCTTAAAATCCCCCAGGGTCCCAGGCTGAGGGGGCTTTCCTGAGCCAGTGACCAATTGCAGCCTGGCATGTGCACTTGAGAGGTGGTGGGGAGGGGGGCAGAACGCAGGGAGCAGAAGGGGCATTGTGTCCTCTGGGTAGGGGGGTGGGGGGACACATACCACCCCATACACAGACAGCTTTGTGTCTGCTGGCCTCCTCCTGCACTAGGCTGGAATGTTGGGGAGGGGTGAAGGAGGGGGACAGAAAAAGGGACACAAACACACTTCTCTGAAGAATAAATGGGCAAGAGGACCCTGAATCTTAAGCCCATGAAAAGGGATTCCTCCCTAGTGTCCTGCCTGAGAGTGGCTCCCCCAAAGTCCCAGAAGCTAAGGCAGGTTCCCCCAGAGAACTTTGAAAACAGGACATACCTTGTTACCTTGACTACCACAGGTTGTGTGACAGGCTTCTTGAGATGAACAGGTCATTTTTCCTTTTTTGTAAGGAAGTCTTTCAATGTCTCTTGTTGCAGTTTAAGCCCATCCCAATTTAGAAAAAGCCAAAAAAAATTGTATTGAGTGCCATCTATATGTACAATGTGGGTATGCAAGCAATAGAAAAAGGAATAAAAATTAGACCCTTCCTTCAAGGAGTTCAAAATCCAGTTTGGGGAAGCAGAGAAGGAAAGATTCGAGGACAAACCCAGCAACAACCCAACATAATAACCCATAATGCTTGTTATAGTAAAGAGATGAACAGAATTCTGGGACTACCAAGGACAGCACATGAGCTGCAATGCAATGTCAGGAAGATTGAGTGAGTTCTGTAACAGAGTAAAAACAAAAATTTCATCTAATAAATGAAGTTCAGAGAAAGGGGGAGTCATGTCTAGAAGACAACCTTGAGGGATATGTGCCATCCTGAAGAGGAGGAATGGGTAACGAGGGTATCTAGGCATACAGAACAGCAAAAGCAAAGACAAAGAGGTGAGAAAGTGTGATTGCGTGTGTCTGTGTTGGATAGGCTTGTGAAGTGCTGGACATATACAAGGCAGATCTGGTGACCTCTGCTTTGACTTGATTTGGGGGATCTTGAAGAGGCATTGTAGGAAACAATAACTACAGGTAAGTTAAAGTCAGTTTGTGAAGTCAGTTTGTGACAGACAAAGAGAATGGCATTGATCTGGTGTGTCAAGAACCTCCTGAAGGTTTTGGGGTGGTGTTTGGGGTTAGGGATGGGAGTGTCTATATGGTCAGAACTGAGTTTTAAAACAAATCTGTCCAGAAAAACTGGAGCTCTCCTGATGGTTACCTCCTTTGTTTCCCTCCTTGGGATCATCTGAAATGATTTTGCCTTATGCTCAGTCTCTCACACTCCCATCTAGAATGTTTTCCCTTCTCCCCCTTCCTTTTTCTCATCTCAAGCCTTGGCTAAACCCTGCTTCTTTCTCCTGCATCTTTTTAAGGTAAGTGCTGATAATGAGGGACTTGACTTAAAATTTGGTTTGGACTTCAGTGTGATTTCTTTCCATCAATTATGGACTCTATAGGTTAATTTGAGGAAGACGCCACTGTTGTTCCTGCTATGGGACTACTGCAGCCTTACTTGTAAGGCCACAGGCTCCTGGCACCTTCCTGGCATTTCCTTACACCACACAGTCTTGGTGGGTTCAGTGAGAAGTACTGGATTTGGGTTGTGGAGCTCTAAATATGGGACTTGATCATAAACTCTACAGGCAAAATCATCATCATCAATATATGTTTACAGGATGTCATAGTCAACATTCCTCCCTAAACCCACCTTTCCAGCTATAAGTAATCTCTTCTTTCATCCACCTGCTTCTTTTACCTATGCCCCTTTCATGGGATTGCTTCTTTCTTTGCTGTATTTATTTATAACATGTAAGTTGTGTAAGCTGAGACTTACAAGCTTCTTGAGGACAATTACATTTCTGTCTTTGAATCCCCTAAAGCACTTTCACATATTCTGCCCAAAAGTCAATACATACACGTTAAAATGAAATTGTTTAAAGAGCTAAGTGAAAGAGTTAAGCACTGGATTTGTTAATGTGAAGCTCCAGAGGGTCAAAGTAGAATCAAGGACTAGAAGCAAAATAGCAGAAAACTGTATTTTAACTTAACAACTTTCTAATGATTAAACTGTTCTCTAAATGAAACTTGGTTTTGAGGTACCGGTCTTGAAGGTCAGTGGTCAGCAATGTTGCAGAAGGGATCCCTGCACTGGATAGAAAATCGGGTTGGAGAGCCTCTAAGCTTCCTTTCAGTCCAAACGTCTATGAAAGTGCTTTCTTTGTTAAGCATTATAGAAATGCAAAATAGTCTTTTCTTTTGATACAGAAATAAGTGAATCTGTGCTAATTAAATCTTGCAAAGTGCAAGAGTGCTAAATATAAATAAGATCTGAATATTAATGTAGCTGATTGTTTAACTGTAGAATAGGAGGTGCTCTAGGCTGTCTCCTTCACTCTTCCCCACCCCAAATGAGACTCAAGCACTTTTGTATTCTTCTGTCCCTTTCTCAGTTGATCTTTTTCTCTGGGCCTTAAGTCGTAAATGCAATTGTTTGCTGTGTTTGGGTTTCTCAAAACTGTTTATATACATATATAAATTAAAGTGAGTTTCTCCTTCACCCCCACCCCAGGTTCTTCTGGCAGTGGGTGCCACCCACACTGCTCTGAAGCAAGAACAAGGAACTGCTGTCTGTGGCTGGTGGGCGTCTAGCGGCAGCGCAAGCCTAGGAATTGTGGCGCATAAAGCTAATCGAGGTGGTTGGAGGAGGCTCCACATCCTTGCGAATGATGATCTCTCGATTGCGAGGGTCTCTCTCCCAAGGCCCATTCTCACACTCCCCAACTTCGGTCTCAACTTGTGAACCTCTGTATTGGTGAAGCTTCACGTTATTAGGGCGGGAGCCCAAACTATCTTTTTCGCAGTATCTCATAACCGGCCTACCGAAACGTTTTTAGTCCCACTTGGGAGGGAGGGGGATGAGGCCAGACTGAAGAGTCCCCAAGAATCCAAGAATCTAGACAAGTCAGCTTTCAGTAGTGCAAAACAGAACGAACAGTTCGCAGGTGGAATGTCTACTGCAGAGTGTGAGCCAGCGGCATTTCCGCCGAAACCCTAGCAAATTCTGGTCGAAGCAGCGGAGGGAGGGAGGCGGACGGAAACCAACCAACCAAAGAAAGTGTGACCACGACTGACTAGGCGGCGCTCCCGATCCTTTTAAACAGCCCCGCGCCATCACGTGACGGTGACCACACGCACGCCCCTCCCCCTCCCCGACGTCTCCGCCCAGAGGTGGTGGAGCCGTTAGACGTCACTTCCGTCCAGGCCGGAAACCAAGATGGCTGCGCTGTTGTTGAGGTGACTTTAGTATGGGGCTGGGGGCCGGTCCCCGCGACCCTTGGGATGCTTGCCTTGGCCTCTCTCGGCCTGCCGGCAGCTGTTTGCCCTGTGCCTGGGCCGGGAAAGGACCCGTGCGTGGCGGCCGCGCCTTGGGGACCCCATGGCCCTCTCCCTCCCCTCCCCCAGCCGCCCCGAGAGCTGGGAGCTACTGGCCGGTTACCGCTTCCTCACTCCGTCCCGAGGGGTCGCGCGGCCCTGGCCCTTTCTACTTCTTCACCTCTAATCCTTCTTCCCCAAGTTTTTCTTTGGGCCACACTCAAAGCCAAGCTCCGAAAAAATAAACAGTTCTAACTTTGAGGTCAGTGGCCCACGGGTCCTACAGTTTTGAGATCTTATTTAAGGACTGGGCGTCGGGAAGAGAGACGTTGGTGTACTTTGTCTTTGCGTCTAACTCCTGCAGTCCCTGGTTGCTTTCAGTGAGCGGGCATTGTCCACGTACCTAACGAACCCCAGGCAGAGGGCGCAGGAGGCCTGGACCGGTACTGGCTGGCGATTAGCAGTAGTGCCCGTGGCGGTTGCTTAGCTGTCCCAGAGCAGCCCGGGGAATTCAGTTTTAGCTTACATTTTTATTTGGGGGACGAGGCTGAATGTCCCAGTTTTTCTCCACAATAAGAGTTCGCTGTTTGGGAAATACCCTGGATTTTCTTCCAATCTGAACTTCCACTGTACAGGCCGCCGCCTCTACTCAGAGCCGTTCTAGCCCTAGGGACTTGAATGAGTTTAAGACACTGTTGGAACAAATCCCAGCATAGTTTATTTAGTGCCAGCCCTAGTTTTGGAAACTATTTGCTATGGAAAGTTAATGTTGTTGAGATTTAATTCCTGATTTCCCCCAAGTGTCTTCCCATTTCTCTTTCCCCTCCAGTCACCCAGTATAAAAATAGACTGTAGTTTTTCTCTTGGAGTTGAGATCAGGAATGGGTTACCCTAATCCTCTTATTTTCCAAATGTACCTTTTTTTCTGTAAGATGTGCCAGGGCCAGTCTTGCCAGAAGTGCCTCCTTTATTCCAGGTAGTTTGACTGTAATTGGATATTTTTGATTCTTTGACATATCATATTTTGGTAGGTGTCAGGGGCTTTTGGTAGAATTAACACGTAGCTTGAAAGAATCATACTGGTTCTAAACTGTTTGTTGTAGGAGTTTGAGGAGGAGTGTTTAGAAGGATCATTATACTCATTAAGTATGTCCAGACAGTGTCATTTGGAGTTGTATAGGACTGTCATCACTGGAGTTCAGTGCCAAGAAAGAGACTTCTTTCTCGTTAGTGGTAATCAAAGGTCTCATGGGAAGGGCACCTTTCAGTTTCTCACAAGGGCTTTTTTAAAGGGATAAGAAATAGAGAATTAAAAAAATTTTTTTTCCCCATGATTGAAGTTCTGGGTCCAATTCCATTTCTCTAGAGGGATTTGGAACTGTTTATAATGTACTGATATAACCTCAAAGTAAAATACCTTCCAAGAAATTCTAGGAGCTCGTTTCTAGTTTTAGGAACATCACCGGTTCTACTTTGGATCATTTAAGGTCATTGATTCCATGATTGTGTTTTCCTCATTTGTGAATGAGAATAGCAATAAGCTGGACCCACTTAAGAGAAATACTGGTTAAACATTTTTAATGCTTGGCTTATTAAAAATTATTAGTTATCAGAGCACTGTATGTCATGGCTTTTGCATAGTGCTGTATATTTCTGTATTTTGTGTACTTCCTAAACAGTCAGACTAGCCAAGGATGAGTAACCAGCTGAGTAATGCAAACTCCATTTGGCACTCAGTCAAGGAATGCCTTACCAAAGCCAAGCCAGGGGTACAGAGCTATGCTAAGAACAGCTAGGCTTCTCTCTAATAACGTTCATGCTGCTCAATTGCAAAATCGCCCGGAGCCATAACCATATGAACACGGCTCATCATATTCAATGCTACATGTGAAACACCTGTAAAGATAAGGTTTAATTCTAAATTCATGAGACTGCTTTGAAGGTAAGCATACTCATTCACAAACCATTTCTTTTGAGCCTCTTCTTTCTGTCAGACATTATTATAGGTGCTGTGGATGCAAAGTATTCCTGTCCTGTCCTTGAGGAGCTCAAGAGTCTAGCAGAGGAGATAAATAAATAGGTGAATTATTAAGCAACATGATAAATGTTGGTATGGAGATAGGAATAAGTGGTGTGGGAGCATGGCAGGGGCAGCAAGTAAGGCTACAGAAATGGTGAAGTTGCCATCCAGGAGTAGTTGGGTTTTGAAGGATGAGTTTATCAGGCTGTGAGGGAGGTTCCAGTCAGAATAGGATGAGCAAAGGCATGTGGCCCTAAGCAGACTTGCTCTGTGTGGGGGTAATGTAACACCAGTGTGGTAGAAGTATAGGGGCAGAAGGGAATTTGTGGGAGAGTAGGTCCAGAGAGTTGGATTGGGCCATGTGAAAAAGAGCTGTGTTTGGCTACAGTATGAAATTGTTCTATAAGCAGGGGGGACCTGTTAAGAGACTTTTTAAGCAGGGGGGAACTGTTAAGAGACTTTTAGGCATAAAAGCAATGAAATCAGCTTTATTTCATAAAGTTAGCTCTGGTAATATTGAATGATAGGGGAGAGATTGGTGCTAGGGAGATATAGTTCAGGAGCTCTGTAATAGTTCTACTGAGAAATGAAGAGGACACAGGCAAAATGGAGTGAAGTGTCCTAGCTGGTAGTGATCTTATTGTGGTAAGGTGGTAACATTGCATATATATCAGGGAAGGGTGAGAGGAAAGAAAGAAAGGATGACTTACATTTCAGGTTGAGAGTTAGTTTGGTGCTAATAACCATTAACCAGAACTTTTATATAGACAGGATTGCTCTTCATTATGTCCTTCAAGGATACATCTATTTTAGTGTTACTCTTACCCCAGACATTTATGAAACTTTTTGGCATACCATCAGATCAAGTTCAGAGGTCATTCACATAAGAGAAACTTATTAAATTACAGTGTTGTCTTGTTTTGGACCAAAAATGGTTTTATTCAGTTTGATCATATAGACTTGGCTTTGAATAATTTTTTTTTCCCTAAAGTCATATCCATTTTTAGCAAATGAACATTTTTATCACCTCTGAGGGTTTAAAGAAGAATGTGATGTAAATTCTAAAAACCTTGGGGAGACCAACAAAATATTAGTAATATTGTACATGTATGTGGTATATTGCTGTTTCGAGATTGCTTTCCTGTACCTTTTTTGGGTATATTTTATCATGTAATACTCCCAGCAACCAATAAGATAGATATTACCAATCCCACTTTATAGAAGAAAAAGCTGAAGCTAAGTGACTTGCTGAAGTTATGCAGATGGTGCAGATCAAGAACTCGAGTCTGGCTCTTTTATTTGTCCAGTGTTTCTGCATTGCTGGTGTTGCCCCAATCCAGAGAAGAGTTTCAAAAATGGTTACAATTTTTTTGGAGACATGTCTAATGTATTCAGAACACTAACTGGAAATGATAAGTCCTGGCTTATTAATTAAGAATAAGGGAAGTACTATTACTTTCTAGCTTTAGCATATAAAGCACTATTCCTGGGTGGAAAAAGAAATCTTTCAGAGTTGTGGGTTTCACATGAAAGGCAAAGATAGAGATCTGCTTTTTTCATATAGAAGTTCCCTCTTATCTGTGGTTTTGCTTTCTGAGGTTTCAGTTACACATGATCAACTATGATTCCAAGGCAGATGACCCTCCTCCTCATGTACTATCAGGTCAATAGTAGCCTAACTCTGTGTCACGATGCCTACGATAATCATATCGCTTCATCTCATCATGTAGGCATTTTATCATCTCACATCATCACAAGAAGAACAAGGTAAGTATAATACCATAAGATATTTGGAGAGAGAGAGACACCACTTACACACAACTTTTGTAACAGTATATTGTTATAATTATGCTTATACTAGTTGTTAATCTCTTACTGTGTTAAATTGGAAATTAAACCTTATCATAGTTATGAAAGTATAGGATAAAATATAATGTGTATAGAATTGAGTATTAGCCACAGTTTCAGGCATCCACTGGGTGTCTTGAAGCTTACTGTGGGTAAAGCTTGGGGGACTAATTATTTCAAATAAGGTTATAGAGTTTGTGCAACTCGTTTCTGTTAGGGCCTGTGGGAAGTTCATATTGGTATTTGTCTGGGAAACAATAGCACTAGACAGAGAGCGCAGTAGATTCCAGCCCACATCTGCAAACTCTTGCTGGGTAGCTGAGTGACTGGACCTAGCCTGGTGTGAGGAATGCGTGCCCTGCGACTTCAGAGTCACAATTACTTCAATTGACTTAACGAGATTTGTTCCCACTTTTCTTTCTGGGAGCTTGGGTACACAATGTCTGTATTCACCCTTGCCTGTAAAGCTGGAAAGAGGGGAGAGCTGAAGGAAGTGTTGCTTGGATGATTTTTCCTTCTAATAGTGGGCTCTTGTAGAATGCTGATGTGAAGCATAAGGTTCTTGAAATGTTTATGCATCTAATAATCAATCGTGTGAGGAACATGATCAGCTTTTTTAGAAGATCGTTGGATCTTAGTGAGATCTTATCCCCACAGTGCCTTGTACGTAGTGGATACACAATCAACTTTTGTAGAATCAATGTATTTCTGATATTAGTCCCAGAGCTTCATTCTGATAACTTTCTTAAGTACTTTTGGAAAGATTTGATATGATAATGTGAGTAAAGGAGATAGTGGTCATCAGTTTTTCATAATACTATGTGAACATAATTCTGGAGCAGTTAAATTCTCTTTAACCCCTTTGTTTATCACAGCAGTATTTACAGTAGCCAAGATATGGAAGCAACCTAAGTGTCCATCACTAGATGAATGGATAAAGAAGATGTGGTACATATACACAGTGAAATACTATTCAGCCATAAGAAAGAAATAAATCCTACCATTTGCAACAACATGGATGGAGCTAGAGGGTATTATGCTCAGTGAAATAAGTTAGGCAGAGAAAGACAAAAACCAAATGATTTCCCTCATTTGTGGAATATAACAACTAAGCAAAACTGAAGGAACAAAACAGCAGCAGAATCATCACAGAACCCAAGAAGGGACTAGTGGTTACCAAAGGGGAGGGTTTGGGGAGGGCGGGTAGGGAGGGAGGGAGAAGGGGATTGTGGGGTATCATGATTGGTGCATATGGTGTGTGTGGGGTCATGGGGGAAGACTGTAGCTCAGAGAAGCAAATAGGGACTCTGTGGCGTCTTACTACGCTGATGGACAGTGACTGCAATTGGGTATGGGGGAGTAATCCATGATAAGGGTGAATGTAATAACCACATTGTTTTTCTTGTGAAGCCTTCATAAGAGTGTATATCAATGATACCTTAATTTAAAAAAATTCCCTTTAGCTAGAATGCCTGGCTACAGCTAAACTATGTACTTGGTGTTGCAGTGACGGACTCTGTTTTTGTTTTACTCCCATGTTTTAATCATTATCTTAAAGACCTTGCTTTAAAAATTCACTTTGTGTATTTCTCTGTTGAACATCACCAGTTTTGATTATTGTTTTACTTCCTGTTATTTGTGTTCAGCTAAACCTTTATTTTGCATTTGTAGGTAATATTTGATCATTCTCAAGGTATTCGGGGTTGTAGCTTTCCAAATGGAAAATAATCTCAAGGACACTGATGCTGTCATTGTTTTCATCTTATTCTTAATTCTCCCCTCTACCCCGAAGCCTAATGCAAAGCAAAAATAGAGAAGTCAGTAAACTGAAGTCCATCTCCAATGTGTATTCACTCTTCTCTTGTCTTGCAGACGTGGTGGCCGCCATTGCCTCCGAGCCCACCTTAGTCCTCAGCTCTGTATCAGAAAGTAAGTTTCTAAATCTGTGGAGATTATTATGATCTAACTCTTTTTTTTCCTTGGGGAAAAGTAGTAGGCTATTGAGTAAGATTTGGGAGGTATGTGTGAAAGCAGGTAGTTGCAGACAGTTGGCTGAAATGTCAGTGATTGTGGTCATTATTTTTCTCGTCTTGTAGTAGAAGGAAGGACAAGAGTATTTCTTTGGCCTTTCAGCTTTTCTGTCATATTTAACTTCATTGATTTTCTCCAATTTCTGATTCCTTCCTTGATACGTAATTTTCTTCTGTCCTTTCTGTTTAATCTTTTTCTTCCTTGAATTTTTTTTTTTTTTTCCTTGTAACTTTTAATTTGGGCAGCTTTCCGGACTTAGTCTTGAAGTATATTTCTTCCTGCTGTATTCAGTCCTAGTCTATTGACTTCAACAGTTGTCTTTATTTTTTTAATTTTAATTTTGGAAATATTTTGTACTTTCAGAGATGTTGGGAGAGTAGAACAATGAAGTTCTGTATACCTTTCACCTAGATTTATCACTTGTTAACATTTTCCTGTTTTCTTATCACTCCATATATTTTAGGTTGTGCTGTATGAAGTTGTTGTTTTTGTAGGTCAAAACTAGTCTCATATTGACATTTTAGTGTGATTTAGCCTGATAGATAGATAGATATTTAGTTGTTATTGTTTCCTCTGAATTCTTTGAGATTAAGTTTAAGACATCATACTTTACTTCTAAATAGTTCTCCTAAAAACAAGAGTGTTATCTTCAATAACAGCATAATTATATAAATGTAGTTACCAAATTCAAGAAATTTAACATTAACGTACTCTTATCCAATATATAGTCTATTTTCAGATTTTCCATTTGTTCCAAATGATGTACTTTGTAGAAGTAGAGTCCACTTGTCCCCCGTCCAGTATCTAATTAGGCTCACATACTGTATTTTGTTGTCATACTTCTTTAGTATTCTTTTGTCTGGAATTGTTTCTTAGCCTTCTGTTGTTTTTTATGACAGTGATGTTTTTGAAGAATACAAGCCTGTTTTGTAGAGTGTCTCTCAAGTTGGGTTTGTATGATTGTTTCCTAATGATTAGATGCCCATTATCCATTTTGGCAGGAGTAATACATAGTGATGCTGTATCTTTACTACATCATATCAGGAGGTATATGATTCCATTTGTCCCATTATCAGTGACTTTAACTTTGACCATTTGAATAAGAAAATGTATGTTAGGTTTTTTCCACTATAAAGTTACTATTTTCCTTTTATAACTAGTAAGTAAGCCATGGGGAGATACTTTCTTGAAGGGGATGAACTCAGTTTAAGTTTAGTATGGACACATAGTAAGTTGTTGAATATAGCTGTTTAAGCATTGGCTTCAACCTAGCCCGATGATAGGGAAAAACCAAGAAACCATTCAGAGGTACTAAGCTGAATCCAGTTCTTGATTTTTGAGAACCTGAAAGGGAGTCTTGAAGAGCCAGATGGGAGCAGGTGGTAATGTCTGAGATAGAGACAGCACTTTGACCTAGGAAAAGGGTCATCCATTTCTGTAAGTGGTTTTGAAATATTTTATGTGCCCTGCTGCCCAATAAGAGAGAAGCTGAACTTCCATTGCTGGACTCCTGTGTGTTGGGGGGTTTGGTAAGAAGTTACCTCTGCTGTGACCTCATTGGGGATTGAGGTTATTAATAACTGAGTCAGACTTTGCAGAAAGGTGAGTGTATGAACATGTTCTCTGAATATAGTGAGTTCATTCAGGCCAGCTTACTTTTTAAAAATTTCAACTTTTTATGTAAAAAGGTAAACCTACTTTACTGTTAGTCATTTTTAAACTGTCTGGTTTATTTTAGTGCTGTTCCTTTGGGAACTACAGCGAAAGAAGAGATGGAGAGGTTCTGGAGTAAGAATACTGGTTCCAACCGCCCTTTGTCTCCCCATATCACTATCTACAGGTAAGGAAATCTAGAAGTGGTGGATGAAAGGTCTGGAGGTTGGCGCATGGCCTCCTTGATTACTTCCCTCAGGTCTTTTTTTATAAGGAGACAACTAAATTCTGTCTTCTTGCCTTAAAAGGGTAATCTATCCTACAAAACTACCATTTTGAAAATTCTGGTAAGTCAAAATTAACTCCTATTAACTAAAAAAAATACTTTGAAACAATTTCATATTTACGTAAATGTTTGCAGAAATAATACACAGTTCTATATGTCTTCATACAGATACCCAACTTAACATGTTTGAATGATTTGAGAAAAAGTACAGAGATGATGATGCTTCATTGTTTTTGTATTAGTTTTCTATTGCTGCCATAACAAGTTTTCATAAACTTTTAAGGGCTTAAAACAACATTTAGCATCTTAAAGTTGTATAGGTCAGAAGTCTGACTCATGTATCACTGGGTTAGAGGCAAGGTGTTGGCCAGGCTTCATTCTCTTCTGGAGGCTCTACAGGAGTATCTGTTCCCTTGCCTTTTCCTGCTTCTAGAAGCTACTTTGAATTTCTTCATTGGTGGCCTCCTTCCTCCATCTTCAAAATCAGCAATGATGGGTCAAGTTCTTCCACCCTATCACTTTGGCCCTGCTTCCATTGTCACGTTTCTCCTCTGACTCCCTTCTTATGCCAGGCTCTTCTGCTCTAAGAACCCCTGTGATTACATTGGGCCCATCCAGGAAGTCCAGGGTAGTCTCCTTATCTTAAGGTGGGCTTATTAGCGACCTTAACTTCATGTGCAACCTTAATTCCCCTTTGCCATGTAAGGCAAAATACTCACAGGTTCCAGGGATTAGAATGTGGATATCTTTAGTGAGGTCATTTTTCTGCTTACCACAATCCCTTAATACTTGGGTGTGTTGTGTTTCCTAAATTCAAGTACACTCTCCATAGTACAACCATCATAATCAAAAAGTAAAGTTAATCCAGTGTTACCATCTGATCCCATTCAGTTTTGGCCAGTTGTCCCAGTAATGTCCTGTAGGTGTCCAGGATCCAACCCAGGACCATGTATTGCATTTTGTTGTCTCTTTAATTTCCTTCAATGTAGAGCAATATTTTAGTCTTATCTTTTATGACCTCGACAGTTGTAGAACGTTCCTCAGTTTGGGTTTGTCTGATATTTTCTTGTGATGTATGTGTTTTTGGCAGGAGTACCTCTGACGCGATGCTGTGCTCTTCCCAGTTCATTGTCTTGGGGGTTGCATAGGATAATGATTTATCCCATTACTGGTGAAACAGACGTTCATCACTCATCAGAATGTCTGCTGGGTTTCTCAGTCTATAAAATTAATGAATAAAGATGTTATGTTTACTAATTAATACTTAATTTGGGAAGATACTCTTGAGACTGTCAATATTCTATTTCTTATCAGACTTTGACCCACCAGCAGCAGTTACTACTATGATCGTTGCCAAATTGCGATTTTTCTAATTCCATCATACCTTCTAGATTTATTTATTACTATAGGGTAAAGGTTGCTTTTTTTAATCAGTGCAAACCCAAGGATTCTTAAAGGATTCCTAAAAGGAAAAACTCATTTCTTCTCTATTCCTATGACATGAACTAAAGGAAAAACAGTTCTCTTTCCTCTCTACTGTCAGTACTTCTGACACCAAATGTGTAGAGGTTTTTCTCAGACCAACTAGTATGCCAGCTTCGTGACTGTCCTACAACTCTTACTACCTGGAGTTAATGCAGGCCTCACAGGTTAGGGGCCTAGTTCCACAAAACGGCACCTCACTTCGAATGCCAGTTCCAAGTCTCAGGCTGTCACTTGTACTTCTGACTGACCATCTATAAATAAGGGTTCCCATGACCCCCTCTTTGGGTTCAGTAATTAGCTAGAATTGTTCACAGAACTTGAAAACATTTACTTACATTTACTAGTTCATTTTAAAGGATATTACAAATGATGTTTACATTTTACATTTCAAAAGGGTATTACAGAGAGTCAGGCACCCTTTTGGACACCTGTGTCTGGAGGAGTTCCAACACAGGAGCTTCCGTCTCCGTGGAGTTGGGTACCCCTGACACGTGGATGTATTTACTAACCTGGAAACTCCTCGAGCCCCACACCTTGGGGATTTTTTTGAGGCTTCATCAAGTAGGCATGATCAATCATTAGTTCAATCTCTAGGCCCTCTCCCTTCCCTGAAAAAAGGCAGGGTGGGGCTGAAAGTTCCAGGCTTCTGTTATGGCTTGGTCTTGGTGCTCAGCCTCTCTCCAGGGTCATCCCATTACAACAAAGGATACTCTTACCACCTAGGAAATTCCAAGACCTCTGCTGTGACCTCATTGGGGATTGAGGTTATTAATAACTGAGTCAGACTTTGCAGAAAGGTGAGTGTATGAACATGTTCTCTGAATATAGTGAGTTCATTCAGGCCAGCTTACTTTTTAAAAATTTCAACTTTTTATGTAAAAAGGTAAACCTACTTTACTGTTAGTCATTTTTAAACTGTCTGGTTTATTTTAGTGCTGTTCCTTTGGGAACTACAGCGAAAGAAGAGATGGAGAGGTTCTGGAGTAAGAATACTGGTTCCAACCGCCCTTTGTCTCCCCATATCACTATCTACAGGTAAGGAAATCTAGAAGTGGTGGATGAAAGGTCTGGAGGTTGGCGCATGGCCTCCTTGATTACTTCCCTCAGGTCTTTTTTTATAAGGAGACAACTAAATTCTGTCTTCTTGCCTTAAAAGGGTAATCTATCCTACAAAACTACCATTTTGAAAATTCTGGTAAGTCAAAATTAACTCCTATTAACTAAAAAAAATACTTTGAAACAATTTCATATTTACGTAAATGTTTGCAGAAATAATACACAGTTCTATATGTCTTCATACAGATACCCAACTTAACATGTTTGAATGATTTGAGAAAAAGTACAGAGATGATGATGCTTCATTGTTTTTGTATTAGTTTTCTATTGCTGCCATAACAAGTTTTCATAAACTTTTAAGGGCTTAAAACAACATTTAGCATCTTAAAGTTGTATAGGTCAGAAGTCTGACTCATGTATCACTGGGTTAGAGGCAAGGTGTTGGCCAGGCTTCATTCTCTTCTGGAGGCTCTACAGGAGTATCTGTTCCCTTGCCTTTTCCTGCTTCTAGAAGCTACTTTGAATTTCTTCATTGGTGGCCTCCTTCCTCCATCTTCAAAATCAGCAATGATGGGTCAAGTTCTTCCACCCTATCACTTTGGCCCTGCTTCCATTGTCACGTTTCTCCTCTGACTCCCTTCTTATGCCAGGCTCTTCTGCTCTAAGAACCCCTGTGATTACATTGGGCCCATCCAGGAAGTCCAGGGTAGTCTCCTTATCTTAAGGTGGGCTTATTAGCGACCTTAACTTCATGTGCAACCTTAATTCCCCTTTGCCATGTAAGGCAAAATACTCACAGGTTCCAGGGATTAGAATGTGGATATCTTTAGTGAGGTCATTTTTCTGCTTACCACAATCCCTTAATACTTGGGTGTGTTGTGTTTCCTAAATTCAAGTACACTCTCCATAGTACAACCATCATAATCAAAAAGTAAAGTTAATCCAGTGTTACCATCTGATCCCATTCAGTTTTGGCCAGTTGTCCCAGTAATGTCCTGTAGGTGTCCAGGATCCAACCCAGGACCATGTATTGCATTTTGTTGTCTCTTTAATTTCCTTCAATGTAGAGCAATATTTTAGTCTTATCTTTTATGACCTCGACAGTTGTAGAACGTTCCTCAGTTTGGGTTTGTCTGATATTTTCTTGTGATGTATGTGTTTTTGGCAGGAGTACCTCTGACGCGATGCTGTGCTCTTCCCAGTTCATTGTCTTGGGGGTTGCATAGGATAATGATTTATCCCATTACTGGTGAAACAGACGTTCATCACTCATCAGAATGTCTGCTGGGTTTCTCAGTCTATAAAATTAATGAATAAAGATGTTATGTTTACTAATTAATACTTAATTTGGGAAGATACTCTTGAGACTGTCAATATTCTATTTCTTATCAGACTTTGACCCACCAGCAGCAGTTACTACTATGATCGTTGCCAAATTGCGATTTTTCTAATTCCATCATACCTTCTAGATTTATTTATTACTATAGGGTAAAGGTTGCTTTTTTTAATCAGTGCAAACCCAAGGATTCTTAAAGGATTCCTAAAAGGAAAAACTCATTTCTTCTCTATTCCTATGACATGAACTAAAGGAAAAACAGTTCTCTTTCCTCTCTACTGTCAGTACTTCTGACACCAAATGTGTAGAGGTTTTTCTCAGACCAACTAGTATGCCAGCTTCGTGACTGTCCTACAACTCTTACTACCTGGAGTTAATGCAGGCCTCACAGGTTAGGGGCCTAGTTCCACAAAACGGCACCTCACTTCGAATGCCAGTTCCAAGTCTCAGGCTGTCACTTGTACTTCTGACTGACCATCTATAAATAAGGGTTCCCATGACCCCCTCTTTGGGTTCAGTAATTAGCTAGAATTGTTCACAGAACTTGAAAACATTTACTTACATTTACTAGTTCATTTTAAAGGATATTACAAATGATGTTTACATTTTACATTTCAAAAGGGTATTACAGAGAGTCAGGCACCCTTTTGGACACCTGTGTCTGGAGGAGTTCCAACACAGGAGCTTCCGTCTCCGTGGAGTTGGGTACCCCTGACACGTGGATGTATTTACTAACCTGGAAACTCCTCGAGCCCCACACCTTGGGGATTTTTTTGAGGCTTCATCAAGTAGGCATGATCAATCATTAGTTCAATCTCTAGGCCCTCTCCCTTCCCTGAAAAAAGGCAGGGTGGGGCTGAAAGTTCCAGGCTTCTGTTATGGCTTGGTCTTGGTGCTCAGCCTCTCTCCAGGGTCATCCCATTACAACAAAGGATACTCTTACCACCTAGGAAATTCCAAGGCATTCAGGAATTGTGTGTCAGGAGCCAGGGTCAAAGACCAAATATTAGAATGAAGAGGCTCT